GAAGTGCAATTATATTATGCGGTATCCAGATGAGCTAGGAATTTTGATATTTTTACTCTTAGGTGAGTACTTGCATCTTGTTAGTAGGGTAACAGCAATTACAGAGAGGAAGAGAGCTATACAGTTTTCAGGTGTTGTTGCTGCTGCTATTTGCTGTCAGGAGCACTGTAAATTGCCATGCACTCATTTGTATTCAAATGTCCCCCATAGGAAGTGTGTTTTAAAGTTTTTACTAATAGCACCCTCTCTTGAAATTTCCCTTTACATCGTTAATATTGAAGATTGATTTCTCTAGATTTCTCTCTTCCAGTTTCTTTAAAACCTCTGATTCTTGAAACTCCTAATAAAACTCAAATAAAGCCTAATCCCTGAATAACACCTAGATGTCTCAGGGTATTCAATGCACTTTGGGGCTTCAAATGGAAAAAGGTTTAATATAGACTCCAAGAAAAATCTTTCAACAAAGATTTTATCCTCTTACCTCACAAAGTAAAAAAAAAAAAAAAAAAAAAAAAAAAAGGAAAAAAAACAGTGAGAATAATTAAACTGGCCATCCTTAAACTGGTGGGGGAAAAAATGGGAGAATGAATGTAAGGGCAACCTGAAAAGGCTTCAGAGAACACCAGTGTGAAGAAATAATCAGGACATGTAGAGTTCAAAAGTTGCTCATAATCTATGGATCCAGATTGAGTAAACTTGGGGCACATAAAGTACAAAAGTCACTCCTGTGGACCAAGGTACATCAGTAGCCAGCAATTGCTCCACAGAACTCCACTGCCCAGGTAACATCTTCAGTTGAAAGACTGAAAAATATTCATATGTAAGTTAACAAGAGCCATTGAGAGCTGTTAAACACCTGTTACTTTATAAGCTAAGGAATATAGGATATAAAAGACAAGCCAATACCAGCTATTCACATGTAAAACAAAGCAATTTGTATTTTGTTAAAAATAATTTTGGGAGGTGCAGCTTTCAGATACAGAAAACCCTAGACTCTGAAACTGCCAAATGCAAAACAAAATCTAATCTGTGGTCACACAAAAAAGATAGATTGGTGAGAAAGACATTTCTATATTGTAGACCTCTGTGTCTGAATGCATGTCTTGCAAACCTTGCTGGTAAACCACTACAGTGTTACAGTCTTTCCTTTTGTGAAGAAGTTACAAAACTTGCTACCATATTCATTAGTGTTAGAAATACTCTGAATAAATCTGCCCAATATAATTAGGTCTCATTTTTTATTTAAGGATTACAGAATGGCAGGTCTCAGTCTTGATCTCATTGTTGAATGAGATTGTAACATAAAAATGTTTATTTCTGTATTACAGAATCTTATTAGTTAGAACCCAGTTTGAAAACATGCACATGGTGCAGCACAATTCCTGTTTCAGAAGACTCTTCCAAAGATCTTTTAAAAGAAAAAAATACTATTAATATTCATTAGCTCTTAAAACAGCCAGCTCCAGTTCCTCCAAAATCATTCTCCATTATCCATCTAATCCCAGAATTATTCACTCACTGGAGACTATCCACAGATAATCTCTTCAAAGAGAGTCCTTAAGACATAATTATGTTTGTCTTTTATGGCTTTGCCCTCCCAATAAATAGCTGGATTCAAAAGCAGCATGAGAGAATGGGAAACAGATTCATGTTCTGGCCAAACAGAAGGTTTGTTTTCCCAGAGAGTAATATCTAATGTTGGATTATTTCTGCCAAGTACTAGCAACATCATAGAAGGAATGGTGATTTGCTGCAAGGCTTTGAGGATTCCTTGAGTTTACTAAATCTACTTGTATTTCTTTGCTACAACATTTTCCACTGATATCACGTAGCAAATAAATGGAAATAGGGACATTGAGGGAACAGCTGAGGCAGAAAAAACAGCTAGCTAAGTACCATGTGATGACAACTAGCTAAGTACCATGAAGCACTGGTACCAGAGAAGAAAAAAAATACGTATGCCCCAGCATATATTCTGCCCCTTCCCCAGCAAGTCCCTGGGAATCTGTCTCCCAGCCACTAAGACATATATTCAGACACACTGGGGTGGGATTGGGGATGGGACAGCCCAAGGTGCAGACAGGTGTAGCATGGCAGCTCTGCCTTTTTGTGCTCCTGGCAGCTGTCAGCTCTGCACTTCTGTCCTTCCCTGCCTTTCCCAGCCCAAGAAAGCAGCCCTTCAGCTGAGCCGAGACTGCCTGAACTCAGCACCAGCAAACCTGGAGGGTTTAGAGTCACAGTTTGAATTGGTCTCCTGAACCAGTGTCCTAAAACCACATCTGATGCTCAAACTCAAGCACCAAAGAAAGCAGCATGAAGGAAGAAGGAACAAAGTCACTGCAGAAGGAAAATGGTCAAAATGACAGAATATAAGATAAGGGATAGAAGACCTCAGCACAGATCTGAAAGTGATCCACTGACCCATGGGCCTGAAGCTCATAGGAAACCTCCCCAAAGGCAGAGGTTGGACATAGAACTGCGTACACACCTTATCCTTTACTAAGGCAGTGCCTTCTGCTGAGGGAGTGGCTCTGCTTTGTGAGTGCTGTAGGGAGAAAGGATGGAGTGTTTTGCTTACAATGCCTCACTCCTCTTGAAGAACAAGTGGGTAAGCAACAGGCGAGCTAATAAAAGAATTTAACTTAAGAAGGAAGCTTTGCTTTGGGGTTTCCATTTAAATGCATAAGGCCAACAGAATCTAAACTTCACCAGAAATTAACTAATTTCCATAACCAAAGGAGCCCAGCCAACTAATTTCTCATCCTAAAATTTTATGTCAAATTTTCAGTCTCAATGATGTAAATTACAAGAGGAAGAAAACTCTCTGACAAAGCATTTGTGTACAAGATTGGTACTGGTTATGTGCATATCAATCTGATCTTTAATACCCATGCCATTGGGGATTTTGCAGATTGTCAGAGAGGTCATTCAGGAGCCTGCACAGAAAGTCATCAGTTGATACTGAACAATAGTTTAGACTCCATATTTCTAATTCTAACTATCAATGTCAATGGATCTCTCAAAATTGGAGGGGATTTTTGAAGAAGCATGGATATGCTAGTACCTATGGAGTCTCAGAAGAAGCATCTTTAGAAGTATAATTTAGAAGTAAACAGACAAAAAAAAAGAAAAAGAAAAAAAAATTTATAAACAGACCGTAGAATATTAGATTTTAGATAGCAGACATAGATCTATCTGCATCTATTTACTTGTAAAACATCTAGGAACATTTACTAATGTTTTATTCCAAGTCTTTCAAAGAAATTTTCCTTGAAAACAGATCAGGCAAACATATGATGATACGTACTAAACCTCTTTTTACTGGCCATTGCACCTCAAATAGGACCATCCAAGGATGAATCATTTTAGCACTACAACTTTAAGCATGTCTGAGCAGGATTTTTGCTCACAAGTGTTCATCCTGATCATGTGTCTGCATAGTCCTGACACAAAACAGCCTCAATATGATAAGAGTGCCAATTAAAATAGCAGAAATCAGACTTTGTCAAAAAGGTTTGACTGATAAAAGAAAGAATTGTACCTATGATACCTGGTGATATTGTGTTCCGGAGAACAGTGTAAAAAAGAACATCAGTGCTACAAAGTGATTATAATTACAGGGGATGTGCTAGTAATGAGGAGAAAAATTTAAGAAAATTAAATCTTGGTACGTTTTAACAGTGCATGGAGCTGCCACCTTGTCACATACATGACTGTGTCTAAACAAAGACACATCCGTGACAAAGAGCTCCACAGTCTACAAAATTAGATCTATACCCACTTCTTCATAAAAATTACCAAGTTATCCTCTGTCTCAGAAGGGAGAGCAACAGCAAATTTGAGCAAGGGCTCCCAGAGTCTTCTACAGGTGAAACTCACATAGTGCTAGGCCAACAGAGCTCAAGATATGATACAGAAAGAGCCCAGAAGATTTCTGCAAGCTCTTCATTGTGGACTCCTTTCTGCAGGTTGCTTGTTATGAGGCTCAAGACTTCAAGAAACATTCCATTCTGTGTGACAGTGACATTTCACTAGTTATAGAATATATAGGTTATAGAATAGTTGATACACCAAATGACTTAATATTGATGCAAGTTATTTTTATTATTTGGGTGTATATTTGTAAGGGAGAAAGTGTGCCTTTACAAGAGAATCATAGAGTATCCTGAGTTGAAAGAAACCCCACAAGGGCCATTGAAGTCTAACTCCTGGCTCTTCACGAGATGCCTCAAGAATCACATCATGTGCTTAAGAGCATTGTCTGAACATGTCTTGAGCTCTGTCAGGCTGGTGCTGTGACCACTGCCCTCGGGAGCCTGTTGCAGTGCCCAACCACCGTGATTTTTCAGGACTCAATTCAGTTGCATAAAACTCAGTATTTAATCACATTTGAGATACTCTGGGCTTTCCAGACACAGACACAGAGCTGGCAAATCTGGCACAGAATCTTCAGAAGACTGACAGCCTTCTGCACCAGACCTAAAACACTTTAAGACACTTTAAATATCATTATACCCTTAGCAATAGCCCATGAAACCACACTCAGTGCTTTATGAACGCAAATCTAATGACACAGGATCAGATCCTGAAATGAGAAAACATCAGATTCCTTGGCCCTGAGGGTCTCCTGAGCAAAAAAGATCTTTCATTAAAGGGGAATGGACTGGAATTCATGTCTGACCTGGAAGCCACCGGAGGTGTCTGGAATGAAACTATACAACTTCATGTGTACAACTGAATCAGCCTAAATATATGTGAGCTGAGTCCCACTGTGTTTCACCCCTATACATCAGTTCTCTGCAAATGCTACAGACAGAACACAAAGTGGGGTACAGCCTGTCTTCACACCACAGCAGATGACGCAAATTCTCAGTAACACTTCTGCTGTAAGGTACATCGTTGGGGAGGGTTTCTGTCTTTGTCGTGGTTACCCCCTTAAGAGGAAAAACAAAACCCACATCCTCTTCATTTATGTATATATATATAGATAGATTGGTAGGTAGAGATATAATAAAGAGTGAATAAGAAGGAACATCAGACAGATATCATGGGTGCTTTCCTCCCTTGGTACACCTTCACCACTGTCATTCTCCTTGTAATTCATGGAGGTAAGTATGCAGTTTAATACTTTTGAAGGTAAATCCTGATGTACAGAATTCTAGTTAAGCTAACATGTATAATGTAAATTAATTAGTCATAATTATTATTTAAATTCTTATAATTACTTCCTCTCCACTGTCTGCATGCGTTTGATCTTCCACACAAACAAAATAATTTCTGAATGGATAGTCTTAAGTAAAGCTGCAAAGTCCAAGCTGTTTGGAGTTCTGAGTAGAGAACATAATTATTATTATGTGAAAGATGATTATCTCATCTTTCTCTCCAGAGCCATACACAAACTGCTTATTTTCTCTGTTTCTGGAAAACAGATTCACATAATGTGGTATACACTACATAGTCCAGTTTCCATGCACAATATTTATGATATGGGAGATCGGAGGTTGTTATTCACAAAGAAAGCTAAGAAATTAACCATATCAATAGTCTTCAAGAAAAGAAATCTGTGCAAAAGCAGCAAAACTTTGGTGTGGGGTTTTTGCCCAAGCTCATCCCACTGATCTCATTTCAGTATTATTGAAATGTAATGAAGTAATACTGTTGAACAGTTTTAAAATTCTACCCTGAAGACCATAATTGTGACATATATGCATACTTGTGTGCCTGTATGCTTTCTAATTACAACAGCCGTGTTTTCTAAGAGACTTGGAATGTCTTACAGTATTTGTTAGCTCAGCTGTGTGTCTTGTGGCTTACTTTTTTAGGTTTGTGTGTGGATATTATCGGAGGATATGAAGTAGAACCACACTCGAGACCATTCATGGCCCAAATCAAGGGATCTGAAGGAATTATTTGTGGAGGAGCTTTAATTAAGGAAAACTGGGTGTTAACAGCTGCACATTGTAAGGTGTAAGTTCTTACTCTGATTCAGAGATTGTCCTTAGTGAGTCTCTGATACCCCTGCTCAAGCAGGAGAATTAGTATCTCTGGTAATTTTATACATTTATCATGACCATAATCATGTTCTGATTACTATGCTTTATAGCTTCTATCAGCAAGCTTGTTATAGTGAGTAAAAAAATACTACAAAATATACTGATCTCCACTGTTTCTGAAGAGATAATGTGCATTAGCATAGAATAGCAACACTGAAGCAGTGATTTGAGGGAAAGTTTTATTCCTGTTTTCTCAGTCAACCTAGTACACTAGATGAGAGGAGTGTCCAGTCTAAACTGCTGCTCTGAGAACAAAAGTAAATTCTTGTAATTTTATTCTGTAAGAGATATGCAGTTCACCACAGACAGAGACAGCACATGGTTAACACAAGAACAAAAATCCTCCGAACAGATGACAGGAGACACAAGAGATATCTGCCTTAGTTGGTATGTTAGCTTGCCAGCCATTCTTTCTTCTCCTGCCCAAATCAAGATGCAAATGCATATTTGTCTCTACTAAGTCCTTCAGCAAGGCAAGAAGTGAGTTTTGAATTACACATCCCACCCCTACTTGCTTTTGTGGGGAGGACAGAAGCTGCTGCTGAGTCAGACCTCACTCAGGCTCTGTCAACAGCCTGACCAAGACCAGTGAGCCACTGGACTCTGCTAACTTCAGTGAAATGTCCTTGTTCAGACAGGGAGATCTGTGGGACCTAAAAGAGGGCACTGGGCCCAAAAGCTGTGTATTAACAGAAGGTGAAGAATGTTTCCAAATGAGATTGCATTTAACAGAAAATACAATTATTTATTAACTTAATGATGGCTCAGTCAACAGACAGCTCTCAATAGATGAAGAAAAGGAGCAACCACTTTCCTAGGGTTGCATTTTCCACAATAAGACATGAATGAGTGCCAACATACACATCTCCTAGAATATTCTCCCATTCAACTATAAGAATGCATTGTTTGCCCAAAACCAGCTGCACCTGTGGTCAGTTAGGGGGTCAGTTAGTTACCTGTGGTCTGTTTGACCTGTTTAGCCAAGGAGTGGTCTCTGGTCTCTGGTCTCTGTCAGAGAGCCACAGCCAGCACAGCTCTGCCACCACTTGAGGATCTTGTAAGTACGGGAAGTTGCAGAAAAACCTGGAGAAGAGGAATGAGCTGTGTCTCACACAGATTCAGAAAATGGTGTTGAAATCTGTTAGAGTAAAGTAATGATACATTTCAATACAGTCAGGATATCTCTGAACTAACAGTGCTGCAGCCTATTTTCCTAAATTTTCAGCACAAATTACAGAGGGCACAGTTGGTGAGACAAGTACCCACAGCAAATCTGATGCATCCACCAGTCATTCAGTTCCCAAAAGAAAATGACAGGGACAGATCAGAGTCAAGTACCTGAAACTTTTCTGTGTTCCTAGGAAAATGAAAATAAGATAGTATGAATTTTGATTCACTGAGTCATATTTTTCTTTTTAGCTGTTGTATGAAGAGTGTAATCTTAGATATTTCTAAATTACTGTTGCTTTTCAGGCACAGGAAAAGAGACTGTAGCAGCTGGTTATTATAGCACCACATTAACCAGCAAAAAAAATTTAGGGTTACATCAAAGTGAATCCAAATAACTATGTAGTCCTCTCCTCAGGAAAAAAAGCAAAGTTATTCTTGGAGCTCATTCATCAAAAAAAAGAGAAGAAGAACAGCAAGTTTTTCAGATTGCAAAAGACATTCCTTATCCATGCTACAATCCCAGTACCAAGGAAAATGACATTATGCTGTTGCAGGTATTGACTTATATATATATCACTTGTAGAATATACACACTACACTGAATCATTTTCTTCTTCTCATCTATGGAGATGAGCCAAGAGAGTTTCTGGTGGCTTTTTTTCTGGGGTGATATAGTCTGGTCTACTAATCCAGCAGCCTGGGGAATTGGAGATGCACTTGTAACTAAGGCAATCAGCAATTTCTGTAATGGTTGCCACAGCTAGTATACAAATTCTGGAGCTTGATCAAGCTATTTCAGTTTCTGGCTTTTCCAAAAAGCAATAAAAATTCAGGCAGATAAAACACTTGGTTAAAAGCACTAACATTCTGTCTGGAAAAGAGTTCTAATTTAAAATGTCTGACTTTTCTGATCTTAAATTTTGCCAGCACCAGTAATTACTGTTATTTTGTCTTCTAAATGGTCTAAGAGACAGAGAAGTAAAATAAGATGTTTTTTAGACCTAATAGATCAGCAGAAGGTAAGTGGGTTCTCATGAGACAAAGAATACTCATTTTCCTCATTCTTACATTGATGACATAAATACTGTTGCAAAGAATTGCGGAATCTCAGAAAGGGATTGCATTAATTACCATAATGGGAAAGATCCAATGGATAATATGCAAGGGCCTCAGTTAGACTCTGTGCCATAATATCTATTTTCCATATTTTCTACAGCTTCAGGGAAGAGCCAAACTTAATAAAGCTGTGCAACCAATCCCCCTGCCTCCCTCAGATGATGATCCCAAACCAGGAACAGTTTGCACAGTAGCAGGATGGGGTTTGACTGGTAATCGTCGAGGCAAGTTCCCTACTGCCCTGATGGAAGTCAATATCACTGTCATCAGGAGAGAAATATGCAATGATAAAAATCATTATAATGGCAAACCTGTCATAACAGAGAACATGATATGTGCAGGGGCTAAGAATGGAGGAAAGGATTCATGTAATGTAAGTATATTTACTGTGACTGCATAAATTGTATAATAACAACAAAATATAATGTACCAGCATTATACATTTATAATCTATCTCTCTTAAAATCAATGAGGAATTTTATCAAATATAAGTGAATTTACCAAGGCTTGTTCTTCTAAGCCTTAAAATCAAAACTCAAGAGTAAATTCACCTTCACAGCCATTTGATATTGTAGTTGTATCCAGGCATGACAGATAGCTATCCTCATCTTCAATAAAATTAGTTTAATACTAAAATGTCCACAAAACAGCTTATGGGTCCATTCGCAAATAGCTGATCTCAGTGGAACAACTTATTTGATGTAAGAAAACTTTGAAATAGGTTTTGCTGATAAAAAGCATTTTGACTGGGTCCCAAGTCAAATACACAACTGTGTAAGAACTACCACATATTAAAAGATTTAAATATTGCATTTTAAAAGGCATAAATTTCTGGAGACTTACACTTTCCATGAGGAAAGTTTTCAGCTTTTTTTCTTTATTTTCAAAGAGATTAATTCTTCCTTAGCACTGAGCTAGATTCATTCTCCATGACACATACTTGAAACATTAGATTGAATTCTATGACACCTTTCTTTTTCATTTTTCTGGATGTCAGAAGTCTTAATTTCCAAGAAAGAAAAAATTATCCTTAATAACATTGGCTACAATTTTACTTTCTCCATTCTAACTAGTGAAAATTTTATTTAAGGGAAAAGTTTTTGGCTTTTGTAGATTTGATTGACTATGTTTTCCATTTTTTCTAGGGGGACTCTGGTGGACCTTTAAGATGTAATAATATTATGAGAGGCATCACTTCATTTGGGAAGCTGAAGAAATGTGGCTTTGCTGGTAGCCCCGGTGTCTACGCTCGACTCACAAAGCGACACATTGAGTGGATAAGGAAAACCATAGGTGGGGCTTAATAGTTTGGGTTTGGGCCACATGTAAATGAAATGGGCTTTTAAAAACAGCTTCATTAGTCTGGTAAAAGAGGTATTCTCATGCTGAATTTTGGCAGCTTGATGGAGTTCTGCTACAACACCATTTATAGCTTATACTATCAAGTATGGAATCATTGGGGGTATTTGGGACTGAGGATTCCAGCAGCCCTGTAGTGAATGTTCACACAGAGCTCCACATGGACTGGTATTTCAAATCACAGATCTAATCCTTGTTTGGGTTCTCACTCCTTGTTGAGTATATATAGCACTCTTTTGTACCAGGACTTCTGCATCTTCTGATGTTAGTGGTGTGCTAGGTACAGACACCTAAAAACCTTCATTCCTCTGCAGCAAAGCTCTTGATTTTATAGGTGTAGTGGATTGCTAAGCTTCAGAAAATTAAGTTGTAGCAACTTTGCAATATAAGTATTAATTTTCTGACTCTCTTGTATTTGAAACCTCTAGATTTTATCCCTTTATGTACTTTGCATTTAATAAAGCAATGGCAATAAAAATCTACTGCTTTCAGCTGTCAATTTATGTGGAAAGCTCTGTGTTTTGCAACATAGATAGCCTATGCACTATCTGTAGGATCTGTTTACTATCTGGGCAATGTTCCATACATGTTAAATTTTTGCAAAACATACCAAAAGAAACAGCATTGTATTTAAAAAATCTTCTGAAAACCCATGCTTCAGAGAAATGACATGACTGTATCAATATGATACTGCACAGTATCATAATATGAAGCACTCTTAATTTTTTGATGCCAGTACTGCTGCTTCAGGCATGCAGTGAATTTTTAGGTGCTTCAATTTGTCAAGTAGCAAATTGACCTCTTGAGAAAAATGTTTCTGCCTGCTTCTGTATTAACAGACATGGGCATTTTCAGTGCCATGAGCACCTCAAAAAGGGCTTGGATTTATTTTCTGTTCCTTCAAGAGGTTTTTGCTTGGAGGTAGACATTAGCTAAGAAAAAACAGGCAACATTCAAATGTGGACATTTTTTGCATTGATTTTAATTTAAAAATTGTTGCTCTGTCCAGCCTAAACAATTAAGCACTACTTACAAGAACAATGAGAAAGCACAAACTAAAACTTTTGCACAACTGCCTTTACCTGATCTCATTAAGAAGAGACAGTAGTTTTCTCACAGAGAAGTAAGGAAGGGTGAAGATAAAGAAGGCCTAGACTACAGGGATCTCTACTGGAAGTTTTGATGATGAAAAACATCTTTTTTTCTCTTTATTACAAAACATTACACAGTCAAAATTTTCCACATTTCTATTCTTATTCATAAATGTTTTTTCTCACTCTTGGATGAACATACAATATGCACACACAAAGGGACAAACACAAAAGCAAAGCAAGAGAAGAGAAAAATATTCTCAGGCAAATAAGATTGCATCAGAGAAACTGAGAGGAGAATTTGGCCCACTGACTGCTACCAACACCTAAAGCAGTCACTTGATTCTGTCTTTAAAAACACAGGAAATAAGAAATTTCAGACCTTTTTTATTCTCGCAAACTACCTGCTTAGGCAAAAACTAATTCTAAAAACCTTCAGGAAACAGAAAGGTCCTCATCAACTGTCGCTGTGGGACACGTGAAAGCACAACGCAGACCACCTGCTGCTTGCAAGGTAAAAAAGGGACGTTTATTATCTGACTCTGTCTTTTATACCTTCCCAAGGGTGACATTGGATTGGAGAGTGAATGGGCCACCTCTCCAAAGACATTGGACAAACCACCAGTACATCAAGTGTTCTCCACCCCCATAAAAGAATGTAAACAATACGTTGTTTACAGAAATTGTGTGGGAAAGTTCTCCAAAGGAATGTAAACTCAGAAGGCTTTAGGAAGTCTTAAGAATCAGGGTGACAATCAACCTGTAGAACTTTCACCTTTTCCATACATTAGTCTTACTTCATTTCTTTGCTCATATTTTCACTGCCTTTCTTTCATCTTGCTGTTGCATTATTTCATCATTCTGCTTCCTCTTCAACCTGATTTTTTTTCCCCAAAATTCATGAACAGCACCCTTGTCAGTGGTAAATCCTGTTGCAGAATTCCTGAGAGCGAGAGGGCATGATTTATGTCTGGAGTGAGAATTGAGCTACCCCTCAGACTAGGCCTCTGATAAGTGGACTTGGTGGGGCCTGGAAGCCTTTGAATTTAGTAAGAATTTAGTTGTGGCGCAGTTAGAAATTATGTTAAGGTAACTACAAAGTAATGAACTATCTGAGTGTGAATTAGGGTAGAACTGCAGTGTGAAAAGCCTGAACACCTTAAGGCAAAGGTAAACACTGTTGGCTTGCCAATCAGAGTGCCTTTGTAAACTGTAAACTATATGGAAGTGTATATAAACTGCCATCCTCTCACTAATAAATGAAGAACGTAGCATTAACCGTATTGGTTCGAAGTGTGTTCTGTCCTGTCCAGCTTTCCTGTCTTATGAGGACCCTGAGTTCAAAATCCCTCTCAAATCCTGTGTCCTGGGTTGACTATATGATGTTTGTATCCCCAGTCGTCTGTTCTGTTTGTGCTGAATAATAGTTTTGCACCATTAAGACTTGTTCCAGGAGTGTAGGGGGGGAGAAGAAGCGCAGAGTTTGTTTTCAGAAACTCTCCCACCCCCTCCTCCACATTCCCGCTCCCGGGCTGTGCTGTCTGCAGCCGGACAGACAGAGCTCTCCTTTGCTTTTAGTTAGTTTTAGCTAGCCGAGGTGAAGAAGTTCCCTGGACTGGTTTTTTCCTTTCTTTGGCCCTGCTCAGCCCTGCTCTGGATGAACACCGGAGCAGCAGCAGCAGCAGCAGCACCTGTACCCCACCGCGCCGGGCCAGGGCCGCGGCGTTTCCAGCACCGGAGGGGCTGCTCGGAGACCGAGTGAGCCGAGCTGCACCCGTGGAGGGACTTTCTGAGTTTGTCCCTCTTTTGGAGCAGCAAGAGGTTTTATTGTTTCATATTGTTTAGATTTTCTTCTTTAATAAATGGTTTCTTCCACTTTTCTCCAAGGAGGTATTTTTCCCAAACCAGTTAAAAGGAAGAGCCGATTGCATCTACTTCCTAGGGGAACCCCTTTGGGGGTTCTCTCCCAAATTTTCTCTAAGCCAAGACATCCTGTAACTCAGTATTCCTCCATTTTCCAGATGATTGTTCTGAACCAGATGTTGGAGAACCTTAGCGATCAGGAAGGATAGGTTCTGACCAAGAACCTATGAAGAAATGTGCAACAGAAAAATGTGCAGCCTTCCTCTTTAGGAACTACCCCAAAACACTTTAAAAACGTAATTTTTTTAACATGGATGTTTTTAGTGAATTGTGTAAAATAAATCTGTAGAGTTGGACTTACATCGTAAAAACAAAATTTCAACCTCCGTCACTACTGCCATTACTGCAGAAATAAGAAGTAACGAGAGCAAGAGAGAATTGCCTTTATGAGCCCATTCACCACTATGGAGTGGAACCCACACTAGTTAAGAAAAATGCTGTGGTAATTTGATGTAATTGTTTTCTTCTCAGTCTGGCTGTATAACACAATTGGAGGGAAGTAACAGGTATAAACTGCATTAACACAAACTCACATAACATATATGTAGATAGCATCAAGTCAAGTCATATAGGGACAGAACAGGGCACTGTCCACTAGGCTTAGTGCTTTTGTGTGTGGGAACAAATGGGTTCCTCAGTCATTATATTCCAGACAATTGTTTTCTTGTATTGATGTAACTGAGAAGAAAGACACATGTACTGTATGAGCAATGAAGTTTTTCTTCAGGCAAAAATTATTTTTGACCTGAAATTTTGATTCCATATGTTGTACAGTGCCTCACCTGGGACTGGACTGTAGGGATGAAAATCTGATTTTAGTCAACTTAAATTCTCTTAAACCTATGTGCCACCCCTAAAACTCAGCTTTTAGTGGATACAGAACACAGATGAAGAACAAGCTGACTTCTTAGAAATGGGTTCTGATTTCTGTCTCATCCTGGGCATAAGCAACATACCAGCCATGTAACTGGCAATGAGCTAAAGGAATGCCATATTCTACAGGGAGGAAGTCAGGATTTCAAATTATGACCAAGACTTCATATGTTAAAACCTTTGCACTGACAGAATGAGGAAGCTTGCCAGAACATGGTCAACTTTCAGCAGCTTCTCACTCTGCACATTCAGAAAAAAAGGACTACAATATACATCTAATTTCACTTCAAATTAGTTACAGTCCAGAATGCACACTTAGATGTCTTCTTAGACATGGTCACATAATGGATGTACAGATCACACAAATAAGGTCCTCTCATAGTTAAGGGTTTTTGAAATCAGTGGCTTCTCCCACTTTTATGTATTATGCTTATATACATCTGGGGCAATACAGCTTGACTAGTCAACAATGAACAGTAAGTGACTAAGATATGAGAAGTTCTTAGGCTGAGAAACTTTCTTATTTTGTCACTTCAGCATCCAACACAATGTGCATAGTTTCAGTATTGGTCGGGTCCTTCCATGCTGCAGCCTCCCATCTTGTGTCATGCACCTCCTCCTATACTGGATGTAAATGATATAAATATCATTTAGATGCTGCCAAAGGAAAGAGATAATTTCTGCAAATAAAAATGCATGAGACAAGCGACTTATTCTACTCATTTTTTAACATTCAAAATGGGGGGAATATGTATTTAATATTCCTAAAAATCTTTTAAATTATTTAAAATACTGTTTCAAATATTTAAATAAGATTCTGTTTGATAAAATCTCCAGAAACAAACTCATTCATATTAGAAGATAGGCACAGAATAAGTTATTTCCCATACTTAGACATCAGCTTCTTGATAGCAATTTCTGAATTGACAGCCAATACTACCATTTTCTGATCTGCTTTAAGACCACATGACATGACATGAGAAGCCAGGAACTGAGTAGCAGGTTTATTGCAGTCTCTTACTAGGTAAAACAGACGAGTGGTCTCAACCTTCCAGAACTAAAATTAGCAACCACATGACTTGTGAGCAGCACAAGATGAGGTTTTAAAAATCATGTGAACCAAAGACATGATGGCTTCACATTCATTTACAGAGATAACTTATGCCCCTGTCTATCTCTTTTCATGCATTTGACCACAGTGCAATTTTCCACAGAATGTTCTAGTCCCCTAATATCCTAATCTTTCCCAGCTACAGGAAATATTCTAAATAAATTTCTAGTTGTAAAAAGAAAATAAAAGAAAGGAATCCAAACAATCAAGCTTCTGAGCTTAGAGGACTTTTAATATAAAAATGTAAGAATGAATCCTTACCCCTTGCCTCTGATCATTCTTAACAATGAAAGCAAAGCTCCAAAGGTGTTTGTAGGTAGAACACAATGAATAGCACTACTGCTCGGTATCTGAATAGCTTCTGAGGCCCAATCCTGACAGCCTTACTTAGCTATTAGCAGTCTTCAAGTCTTGCAAGACAAACATTATGTCAAAGTCCAAGGGTATTTTTCCCTGTGAGCACTAAATA